TCTCTCTCTCTCTCTCTCTCTCTCTCTCTCTCTCTCTCTCTCTCTCTATCTATCTCTCTCTCTCTATCTCTCTCTCACTCTCTCACTCTCGGGGGAGATAGATTGTTGTTTGTTGTTTTAAGCCCGAGTTTGGTCCCACCACTCTCAGGAGAGAAGAGAAGAGAAAGCAGAAGTCCGTTATGTCCCACTGACAGGGACTACATGGGACGGCCCACTCCGGGGAGCATCTGATGGGATTGTAACACTCTTTCCAGCTCTCTTTGTTTTCTCCCACCAAGAATAACTCTGCTCCATGTGTTGGTAGTGCAGCATCACAGAGGCAACCTCCTATGTTCAAATGGACAGCTTTGTGTCAACTTTGCTGGACCTGATTTTTAAAGACAGAAGATACCCGGGGGCCATTGTGGAAGAATTTGGTTTGCAGCTTTGGAAGAATTGAAGTGTTCTGTTTCCCGTTTAGGAGTACGGGGGGAAAGAAACGCTCAAGATAAGTGTTTATCTTGGCTAATCTGCGGTGAGCTGAAAGGAGATCGAGTGAGGAAGTAGTCCCAGATGAGCACTGACAGCTAACACCATCCTCAATTTCACTTGATGTGATTCGGCCCCGTATTATCACTGTCAGTGAGATGATACGCTAACTGGTTCCTAACAGCCAAGACTCTTTGCCTTTTTAGGCTGTTCATACACACGCACACGCTGGGCTGAACCTTTTTTATTTTTCCTGGACATATCCTTAAAGCCGGGACCAAAAGCTGAACTGCCAATTGATTTTTTTCAGTTTGGTGCACTGAGCTGGAAGGGAATCGCTTCTAGCTAATAATTTGTATCTTATGAATAGAGAGAATACTCAGCAGGTCTGACTTTTACTTTTAGTCTCGCTCCTACCAGGTGCAGCTGATGAGACTCTTGTGTTTTGCATGTTGGTGTTACTTTACATTTTGTCATTCTTGGACCTGTTTTTCTGCACTGTCATGTTAGAGGGACCTGTCTTCCCTAGTTTGTGACAACAGACAACAAAAAGGAATTCAGACAGCTCTCCTTTCCAGTTCCTGACAGCATGGGGGTTTTGGTCGCTCTGCAAAAGTTCACTTTGTTTACCTCTCGCCTCCCAAAACTGCTGTTTTGATGCCGCTCTGAACTCAACCCAACTGTTTTTGAACTGCCAATAAAATGATGAACAAAGACTCCCGCTTTTCAAGGAAAATGCACGGCAACTTCTCCACACGCAGGCACTCGTGCATTGGGTATGTATCCAGTTGTGTGTTGAGAGTTTTATGAGTGTGATTACAGTGACTGACACATCATGACACATTTGCAGGTATTCAATAGGAATTGGAAAGCTTGTTTCTTTATCTAGAAAGTACCTATAATCAGAAATATAACCAACTGATGGGGAGTTGTTTGACACTGCTACTCTGTCCCTGTGTTTTATAGCTGTGTTGGTGTTTATCGGGTGGTTTTATGTGTTTTATTCCGTTGTGTAGCCGTGATGTTTCAGGCCCCAGTCTTAGAGTACCATTTAGATTGCTCTGAATATAAAAAGTTGTTGAAGATGGAAACATTTGAAGATGGAAATGAATCTCTCTCTATCACAGATAGAAGCAGTGGTTTTGTTTGCTTTAATACTTATCTAGTGGTGAGGCTGCACCTATATGGTGTTTAACTTTAACCCTGTCTGTTGCCAAAAAACAAAGCATCTGCCCAATGATCCAATGTGTGCTGAGGGTGAAGCCGGTGGGTGTTGCTGTTGGTGTGCTGGGTGCTGTAGTTGGCCGTGCAGGCCTCGGGATGGGATGCCGTGTTGGATCGATGGCTCTATCCACTGATGGCCCTCCTTGTGGTCCATGGGCTCGAGCCAAGCCGAGGAGTTCATGTCAGGCACGTTATGACTATCATGTGGTCCAGGACTTTGGCGTTGCATAAGAGGACTGCAGAAATATTGGTGCACTGTGGAAAATTATCCATGAGAGCGGCAGATTCAGCAGATTTTTATCTCTGTTTTCTATCTGGTCTTTTAGGAAACAGAGAGGACTCAAAAATAACCTGTCAAATTAACTCGCTTCAGAGTTAAATCACAGTTACATGGTCTCTTGTCGACACACTGATGGGACTAATTACTCTAATTGAAGTTGTAACTTGATAAAACTGTGTAATCACCAACTCTACTACAGCTGTCATGAGAGCCCTGCAGGACTCGTTATTATGTAAGTTTACAGAGACTAAAAACAGAGACTTGATACATGAAATACAAGAATACACATATAGGCAGACACAGCAAATAAATACACACACACAGGGATCCTATGCATTGTGAAGGGTAACTCACAATCAGAGATGCAACATTAAAATAAGCTTTAAACGCTGCACAGCTCCATAAAGAATCACTCTCTTCTTCCTTGCACTGAGAGAAAAAAAAAGAAACATTTCAGAGCTGCTGTGGGATTTAATTTAGTGCAATGTGTGGTACTTTTCTGAACTCTGGGCATAAGGCATGTGCTCCACAAGTGTCATCTGAACTCCTCCAGCCGTGAGCCTGTGTGGATCATATGAGGAGATCAAAGCAGGAGATTTCAGTGCAGACGGGAACAGAACAAGCCTCTATCCTCTTTACCTGATTTGTACATCCAGCTTCATGATGACCCTCCCCCTCCCCCTCCCCCCAACAAAAGTCCCTGTTGGGAGCTTCTCATCAAAGCAAAGTTCAAAACTTTTTTATTTTATCTTCAGCAATGATGTATGGTGATGGAGGTGATACCATTGGTGTGTGTGTTTACAGCTGTCGTGGTTCTCAGATTAGCTAACGTAGAAATTATTATTCAAAATCTTTATTCAATCATCACTTTAATCATTTTCTCTGCCCTTGTGCAACTGAGACAAAGCAGTCTTTTGTAATCAAGATGTGTCCATCACAATAGAGACAGCTCTTATCCTCACTTGTACTAACAGTACCAGGGCACTATTCATCCTCCGACTACCACGCACGCACGCACGCACGCACACTCTCTCCAACTCCTAGTAACATTGTCAACAATGTTTTTTATGGCTTCACTGGCAGTGCGGTACATTTAAACAACACAGTGTCGCTACATTTAGCTGGAATAGCTCTTGTATCAGTTCCATGAGAAGATAGCCGGTGCTGCGTCCACTCAGCTCGGAACAGTTTGAGAAGGTGCAATTTATCTTAAGTAGAAATGATGGGAAGAGACGGAGTGAGGTGAGAGCAAGCGTGACGGATGCAACGGCCGACCAAGTGGGGAAAAAAGATAATTTAAACAAAGAGGGTAAAGGCACGGGCGAGAGGGTGGTGAAGGGGATGTGGGTCGAGATAGTGCTGCTCTCGGCAGAGAGATAATGACAGGAAGGAGAGGGTCAGACGCAGAGACAGGGGGGTTAGAGGGCGAAACGGAGAATAAAAAGATACTTCTGAGAGGTAGAAAGAAAATTGTGACTGAAAGAATAATGAGGAAAACAAAAAAAAAGTGTCAAGCGAGGCCATTCAACCAAAGGGTACAGTGTCAATGTCAGAGGTCCCAATATAGCTGCCAGCCCCCCTCCTCAAACACACAGCCAGATTAGTCAATAGAGCCTGTGTGGCTGCGGCCAGCTGGCTGCTGTGTGCGTCACTGCTGTACTCCATATTTTCAGCATGACTGATTTCCCCAATCGCCTCCAGAGCCTCATCGATTCCTGAGGCTGGCAGCAACTGCAGCAGCTGGGTACAACACTACCACTGCTGAAATGCAAAACTAGTAACTCTACTGTAGCTCTGTAAGAGAATAAATAGAGTAAATTATTATTACTTCAAATGAAATGTCATTTTTGATGTTTTTTCCCAACAGTGCTATGTCCCTAAGAGATCAGATGTGCTACTACTTCAGTCATTAGTCTCAGCAGAATTAGGGTTGTAGACTCGGACATTGAATTATAAGAAATAATTTGGTTAAAAAATGCTCAATACTAGAAAGTCTGATCAGAAACAGCAAAATGTGTTAAACGCCTAAACAAATAATACATCAAAATGTGTAGCTTTGTTTCACTCTGTTAATATCTAAAATGTATTTCAGAATAATCTTCTCATTGGTGTCAGACGTCTCTGCTGATTGTTGTCTTTGTACTACAGCAGCATCAGGATCACTGTTCAGTGTGACCACTAGAGGGGGAAACCGACTAAGTTATGCTCAGAGACTGTTTGAGAGCAACGACCTCCTACAGACCAAGCAGTTGTTTCATATAGTAACAAAAACCATCGATGGATTATAATTCTATTTTGAGACTAGTGGAAAGAGGCGCGTATCACTGATTAAACTTCCATAGTGCTGTGGAGAGTTAAGGTAATGTAAAGGGTTGTCTTTGAAGCAACTTAATCAAGATGTTAGGTTGTGCTTTTACATTAATGTGGGGAGGAATTATTAGTCATTTCCCTTTGTTCTTTTAAAGGCTTCAGATTGACTTTGACACTATAAAATTCTTCGGTACACTTGATAATTATTTAATATATTTTGTACTTAATTCACTAAATATTGTCATTGTTTTTCATCATACTGATACAGATTACTCTGTATATATGACATCTATTGCACATCTATTCATTCTGCTTTCAGTATAGAGCTTGTTGTATGTTGATGGGCTTTGTAAATACAATTGATTTGACTTGACAGCTAGCTGCTTTACTGGTTGGTAGCATTTAACTCGAGTTGTTTGTACATCGGCAGGCAACAGTATACAGCAGATGTATGTCATCACAACCGAACTTCAGATACAAATCACTTTTAATCACAGACGTGGCACATTGATTTTATGAAAAGCAGAATAACCCTTTTAAATTAGTATTAATACACTGAGCTCACCTCCAATAATTATGACATTTTCAAAATTGAATTGTTAAGTTTATTTTCAATAATTATTTTCAGTTTGGTACTTAAATGTGTCTTCTTCGATACATTAAGTGCCTTTTGGCCTGTGGCAAACTCAATGATCAGTAATTCAGTATCACACGATGCCATAACGGAGAATTCATTGTTTTTCTTTCTATTTTTTTAGATCTGCCGAACACTACATTACTGCGTGTACAGCTAGTCTTACATACACCTACTATTACATTTACATTACCCATGCAAAAAAAAAAACCCAAACATGCACACATATCTACCGTAGCCTACACACTGGGTCATCACGTACACACTGGGTCATCACGTACACACTGGGTCATCACGTACACACTGGGTTGCATTTCTTCAGAAGTAAGTGGTGACGTGGCTTGCTGCATTTCACGGCCCTTATTTTTTCCTACAAACACTACTTCCCTGCTGAAGAAGTGGCCACCTGCCATCTGGTTGTGCGCACAGACCTGAGTGCATCTGAATGTCCATTTAATGTGTGTCTATGAGTGTGTGTCCACGTCAATGCACATGCATCCATTATTGACTTCCCATGTGCGTATGTCCTGGCCTTCTTTGTCTGTGTGTGGTTGTTTACATGTGTGCATGCAAGTCCGTCATCCACCAAATCCCCAAATCAGGCGAGCCCCGGACCCCTCCGTCATGCTAGCAGATGGCAGCCTAATGAATCATGAGGCGACACACTGATAGCCTTTACTACAGTACATGCTGTAACACGACGGTCGACATCAGGAGACTTAGCTAAATATAGTCTGCTAGCAACAGCCACATGCTGACACCTGGCGCTGCTGCTTTGTTACATACGCAGTCTATTAGATGACATTTGCATCGTGAAGAAAGTTGTTGTCGTTTGTTTTTACTTTTCTCTCGCTCTGTAGTAATCACTTTTAATTTGAAATAACCAGAACAACTGCAGTGTTTGGGTGCTTTTGAAGAGATGTAACACGCTGCAAGGCTGTACTTTGCAATGTGGAAACTGTACGTCGCTGCATCATGATGACTGGGAGTCCGTTTTTTCTTTCTAAAGGAAGCAGACATTTTTGAGAATGATTCTTCCTGGGGATCCTGTTACAGATGTAGAACACTTCTAGTGGAGATGAGCAGCCTTGCTCATGTAAATAGGCCTGTGTGTGTGTGTGTGTGTGTGTGTGTGTGTGTGTGTGTGTGTGCGTGTGCGTGTGTGTGTACCTTCTTCTTCTCCAGCTGCTTTTTTAACCTCTTGACCTCTGCTGTGCCCAACACTGGGTCCTTCTACAAACTCTCCCGGCTGAGCGTGGTCTAAACAAACACGTTATTGTTGTTATTTTAAATTCCAGTGGAGATCCCACAGTTTCCAAAGATAGCAG